GGCGCCCACAACGCTCGGCTTCGGGCGCCGACGAATGTCGTCACCCCCGCGCAGCGCGGGCTCGGAGACCACGCTCAGCAGAAGAATCTCGACTTCTTTTCCCCACTTTTTCTCCCCCCGCCCCTAACGGGTTGAACCCGAGACCGGAGTCCTCCCGCCACGCTCTACAGGCGGGGTTCACTGTGCGGGCGAGCGGGCGGCGGACCCCTGCGGACACTTGGGCAGTGGCTACCGCTGATTGGCAGTAAAGGGGTTCACGCCCCATCTCCTGCTTGAGCAGAACCGAGACAGCCAATCAGAGCGAGGAATGACAGAAATGGCCCAATCCTGGAGCCGGGTGAGGGCGGGGGCGGGGACAAATGATTCAGGTGGACTCCAGGCTGGAGCTGTTTTGGGGGTTGCATCTTTGCTGCTGCTGCAGCGGCTGCTGCTGGCTGGGGTCCGGTCGCCAGGTGAGAATATTCCTCGAGATTGTATTTTTTTTAAATCTCCAATTCGCAGGTGAGGAAACCTAGGCTGTAAAGTGTAAATGATTTGTGCCCAGGGTCACACAGCTCCTAAATGGTAGGGCCAGGATAGGAACGCCTCTCTCCTGGCTCAGGTTTTAACACCACACCTGCCTGGGCAAAAGCTGAGAATCGTGTTTGTTGGATACTCTAGGCCCTCAAGCTTTAGGAAAATGGGTCGAGGGCGTGGGACAGCTGCTCGGAAGAATGCTCAGGCTCAGCCCTCATCAGCTACCTGTTGGGATTTCTAAGAGCTTCTGTGAAATGAAAGGCATAAGTTCTGTCAAAAAGAGGGGGCCATCCGTGCAGCTTTTCGGACCCTTGGAAGGGTCTCCTATTGAGGGAGGGCAAGAAAATAGGGAGGAGGATGGGGGTGGGGTGAGGTGGGGGTGGGGGGATCTTGGTCCAGGCTGTAACTGCTTGTGATGTCGGTAGAGCCATGTTCTCCCTAGACTTGGACAAAGCCCACTGTGCGATCCACCTTTCCCTGAGGGATTCCTCCATTCACCCTTCCTCCTCTCTCGCTCTTTTTTTGTTTCTTGGTGCTTCACACTGTCTTGAGCCGTGGCTGACTTTAATATCTGTTTCATCTGGGTAGTGTAGGACCATACTGAAACTTTTACTGCCAGAGTGACAAAGGAAGCCTGATAGTTTGTCACCACTTCAAGCCCAAGAAGTTAACCTGACAGCAGATAAACCGTGGGCCAAAAAACCATAATGAAGGTGGGAAGAAATAATTCCATTATTAAATTCTTTATCTACATGGGTTTTATTTAAGTCAAGCTCATTGAAATCAATGCTCAGCAAGGGTTAATCTAAGCTTTAAAAAAAAGTACATAATCTAAAGTTATTTTCTATACAACTTCAAGACAAAAGTGGGTATGGTATGCTTGTCTCCCTCAAAAATGGAAACTCCGTCAAAATGTTCTCAAACAGTGAGGCAGTATTGCAACGTAGAGTCCAACAGAGCATGCTTCACATCTCAGCTTGGCCATATATTAGCTGTAAAACCTCAAGCAAATCACTTAACCTCTCTGTGCCAACCCTCCTCTGTAAAATGGAAATATTAATAATGTCTACAATATATGTTAAGTGCATGTCACAGTGCATGGCACATACAAGTGCCCAGTAACTGTGAGCTACTATAATTTCTCCTGCAACCCAATGCCGACATTGCTATCTCCTTCTTCGTATAATTTCTTACTAGTTCTCAAGTCACCGCAGTTTATTTTTAACCTTTAGATTGTTCCTCTCGTTTATGGTATACCTCAGAACCAGATTAGAGAAAACCTGAGGATGTAAATATTGCCCTCACTATTGGTTCCACTGAAATGTGTAAGGCTTCTATGTGCTTGGAAGGATCTGTCATCAATAGCCAGGCAGGTGTCTGTTAGATTTATAATTACCTTTTAGCCACTTGCATTGTGAAAGAAGGACATGAAAAACCAGTCTAGAAGTAAAGATATAAGAGGGCTGATTGAGCCAAGAGAAAAGTGTTCTGATGTAGGGTAATATTTTAGAGAAATTACTCAATCAAAGATAACTACTGTGCCATTTATTGGAAAGTATACTGTTGATTCACCAGTTAGTATGACTAAATATTGAGACCAATTTCTGTAAGCTTATACATAAACCCACTTTGTTACTATAGTAATATTTGTACACCTCCTCTTCTCCCTTTTTTTTTATCTCCAATTTTTTCCACTGGGTTTGTCATCTCTCCCTACTGCATTATTTAGCCTTTTTCACTCTGGGTAAAGGTCAGCACACTTTGGTCTAGGGCCGTGGTCGGCAAACTGCGGCTCGCAAGCCACATGCGGCTCTTTGGCCCCTTGAGTGTGGCTCTTCCTCAGCCTTAGGAGTACCCTAACTAAGTTAATAACAATGTACCTATCTATATAGTTTAAGTTTAAAAAAGTTGGCTCTCAAAAGAAATTTCAATCTTACTCTTGATATTTGGCTCTGTTGACTAATGAGTTTGCCGACCACTGGTTTAGGGAAAATATTCAAAGGCAGTGTGCTAATTCCATGAAGGTTAGAGTAGTGTATTAAGGTAACTGGGGAGGGTGAGCTTAGGGGGCTTGCAGAGGAATTTAGGAAGTGATCAACAAGTGACCAAACAAGCTTAGTACAGCCCTCATGACTGGGACCCAAGGGTGAGAGAGCTCATGGTTATAGAAGATGAACCATCTGCTGTCTCACATCCTTTGCCTTTGTTTGCAGGGCAAGAAGCCCTCTCAGATTTGAGGGGACCATGAGCCGTTTCCTGAATGTGCTACGAAGCTGGTTGGTGATGGTGTCCATCATAGCCATGGGGAACACGCTTCAGAGCTTCCGGGACCACACCTTTCTCTATGAAAAGCTCTACACCGGCAAGCCAGACCTGGGTAAGAAGTCAAAGAACTGCATCGCTTGTACATTGTGGTTCCCAGACTAGGCTACCCATCAGAATAACTTACTAGGAGATCTACAAACAACAATGTGCAGATGCCATTTCCCTCTCCAAACCTGTTCACTGAAACTTTCACCCCCTGGGTGGAGTCCAGAATCTATTTTTTAATAACTACCTAGGTGATTCTGATGCTGCCTATATACTAGTAGCCTTTGGCAACCACTAGAGCAGTGGTTCTCAACCTTCCCAATGCCGCGACCCTTTAATACAGTTCCTCATGTTGTGGTGACCCCCAACCATAAAATTATTTTCGTTGCTACTTCATAACTGTAATTTTGCTACTGTTATGAATCGTGATGTAAATATCTGATATGCAGGATGTATTTTCATTGTTACAAATTGAACATAATTAAAGCATAGTGATTAATCACAAAAACAATATGTAATTATATATGTGTTTTCCGATGGCCTTAGACGACCCCTGTGAAAGGGTCGTTCGACCCCCAAAGGGGTCGAGATCCACAGGTTGGCGACCCACAGGTTGAGAACCACTGCACTAGAGTAATAAACTTTAGGGATAGCACTTGGCCCATTTTCCCCCTCAAAGCTTCCCTGAATACCTTTTCATTCATTTTACATGGCCCTAGGCAATCTGTAAAAAAGCTTTACAAGGGCACCCTGGTCAGTGTGGCTCAGTTGGCTGGGCATCGTCCCATGCATCAAAGGATTGCTGTTTCGATTCCCAGTCAGGGCACATGCCCAGGTTGCAGGCTCAGTCCCTGGTAGGGAGCATGCAAGGGGCAAAGAAGGAAATAGAATTACTTGGTGACTCTGTGATGCCCCACTAGAAAGCCATAAAGAAGTTTTTCATGTTATCTCAGCTGTCTTCAGAAATCACATCATGGCACACACATGGTTACATTCCATGTTGCAGATAGAGAGTTACCAATCCAAGGTTTTCCCAAACTGTGACATAGTCTCTAAGAAGACAGCCCACACCCATCCAGGTTTGTCTCCAAAATGAAACTGCAGAAGGTCCAGTTTCCCGAGCCTCTTTGCTGAGAGTGTTTTCACATTGCAGCTTGCCCTTCCTTGCACTGATGTGTGGGATAGTTGGAGCCGCGGCACGGTTTCACAGCAGCTGACGATTCTGTGTCACATTTATAGCTAACCCAGATTCAGGCTCTGACCTAGCTCATTGTTCTGCAACATCTAGGTATAAAATGAACCTAAGTAGGCTAAGGCTCATTTTTTTAACAAAGCTCAAATATACTGGGAGTAAAGAACTGGAAAAGGGGGCAAGACAATTCAACTTTTTCACCCTCAAATGCTGCCTTCGGATGGTCGAGGCATCCTATATAGATTCACAGGATTTTCAGAGGTTATCTGCTCTAGCCCTTTGAATTTAAGTTGAGACAGAGAAGCCCAGGGGTCATGTGACTTGCTGAAGGGACATAGAGCTGAGCAAGAGTGTGTGTGTGTAGGTTTGTGTGCACGCATCTGTACATGCATGTGTCCATCTGTCTGTCTCCAGCCCAGAAGTGAAGACTGCCTCCTCCTCATGATCTGGGGGCTGTCTTGTACTGTCCTGATCATATCAGTACTGTGGTAGAATTTCACCTGATGCCTCATCTGGTTAAGGTTGGTGAAATATTTCCCTTTCGTACCTCACTACTTCCTCAGTCTTTTCATCAGAAAAGCTGCCAAGGTGTTTATAAAGAACGTAGCCCACTGGGGCTAACTGCCAGGTATTTGGTTGGCATATGGAATTTTTGTTCACCTTACTGCTTACATCCAAAGGTCTTCGGGGTTGTGAAATTGGTATCACTGTCTGGTTTTCCAAAGGCTGGAAAATCCTAAAAGCCCAAGTAAACATGAATAGACCCTTCAGTTTTCAGTCTTGTCCCTTGAAATTTCTCTTGCTTAATAGAACAGCAAAGAAGTATCTTTGCTGTCCCTGTTTTGGCATTCCAACCACTGAATGCCTTAGATCAATGGCTGTGCCTTACAGTCACCGAGGGAGGGGGTTTGAGAAACCACTTTGCCCAAGGTCCACCTCCAAAGAGTATGATTTCATTGGTCTGGTACCCGGGTCTTGGTAATTGCATGAAACTTTTTCAGTTGATTCTAATAAATATCCAGGGTCCAGAACCACTGTTGTGGTGGAATATGATCCATACTTTCAGGACAAGATATTTAATACAGCAGTGTCAGAACAAAGCCACCAAGAGCAGGGTGGCCTTGGCAGACACTAGAGAAACAGTGCTTTGTCCCCCTATCATGTGTCCAGGAATCCAGCCTGGTTTGGGCTTTGTTCAAATAATTCAGATCTGGATTCAGAGAAGACCTAGGGACTTAGGTCTCTGAAAAACCAGATGTAGCCATCTAAGTAGGCGCCATTATTTCTGAGTTCTCTCCTATACCAGCCTTAAAAGTCTGCTGACCTCCCAGGCATCTTGTATTGCCAGACCACTCTGCAGCATCCCCCCAAACCTGTCCTGATTCAGACTCACTGGGCTTCACCGACACCAGACTGGTTTCTAGGGCAGAGGTATAAACTACTACATCCAGGGGTTATTTGCCCGAGTGGGCTCTTTGTTGGATTTCCACTCTTGGAAGTCCCTGCCCAGCCATAGCTATTGGAGGAGGGGTTGAGCAGTTCTCATTCTGGAATCCCTTCCATTCCTTCTAGCGCCAGGCGCCTCACCAAAGCCTCCACTCTGCCCAGCCAAAGGGGGCTCAGCTCAGCTCCCTGCCTCCCATGAACTGCCAGGGAGGTAGGAAGAGTTTGGAAGGCATCCTAACCTCCTTCTTCTCAACACTCTTGCTTTTTTCTGCTACACAGTGAACGGCCTGCAAGCTCGGACCTTTGGGATCTGGACGCTGCTCTCATCAGTGATCCGTTGCCTCTGTGCCATCGACATCCGCAACAAGACGTATGTAAGGGAAGGAAGAGCTTTAGCATCCTTTTGTTCGAACTCAGGTGCTACACGTACCCACTGTCCACTGTGGTCCTCCCTTTGGAGGCCTGTTCATTTTGATACACTCGCCTAGAATGTGGATGATAATAAAAGGTTAATAGGTTCTGTTCCTTCCAGGCCTAGAAAACATAAAAGGCCTAACAGGTCTTTAAGGTTTGAAAATTCTTTTGAACTGACATAGCAAATTGGCCGTGCCATGATCCTGTGGCCTGCATCAAAGCCCCTACTTCTTTATTGAAGAATCAGCCTTGTGTCTGCTAAAGTAGAATAGTGTGCTCTTTTTAGAGCAGCCACCCACACATACCTTATTCTCACATGCCTCCTTAAGCACGAATGCACAGAACTCACAGTCCACGGGAAAAGGAACCCACCAGCAAACTGCTGTATGCTTTTGCAGAGGAGGGTGGAAGAGAACCCAGGACTCCTCCGTGTTCTGCCTTTTGAGGCTACTCAAATAAGCTAGTGCGGAATAGTTGCAGGCAATCCTAGCCTCTTGTCTGGAGTGCTGTAGCCAGTACTGGCCACTGGAGGGGGCTCGAGCTCTGTTCCCACCAACAGTCATCACCACATCAAGGTGGAAAAGTTTGCTCAGGTCAGTGGGTGAGGCACCAAAACACCAACTTGACACTAAAATCTTTTTCTCTCTGATCCGGACCCCCAGCCTCTGGGGAAGAGAGGGGGGAACGGTATTTACCTTATTTTGCCTGGAGCTTTCATCTAGGTGACCTTGACTAAGTCTCCTCCTAGCAGCGGGGGAGGTAGTGATTTTCATTCCTGATTTTGCAGATCTACATATTAGACACCCAGTTAATTTAATCTGAGGAAGACTGACACAAGTGGGACTTGAAGCAGGGCTCTTAGCCCTGGGATCTCAACAACTTAATTTTTTAATTTTTTTTTTTAACTTGAAACTGTGGTTTACTCGTTCTAGATTCGCATGTATTTTTGGAAACAGTGTAGTTTAGTGGAAACAGCCTGGGGCCTGAAGAATGAAAACAAGAAGATGAGCTCTTGTCTCAGTTCTATTAGTAACTAGCTTTGTAGCAGCGAGTTCATTATGTACCTTCTCTGCATCTCGCTCTCTTCACGTATAAAACGAGACTAGCATTTCTGTTCTACCTCTCAGGGTGACTGGGAGGGAGGGAAGGTTGAATAACCATTTTAAAAGACCTTTCCCATGATGAAGAATTGCTGATAGGTGTAAGGGGTAACGCCTTTTGTTTGCTGTGCTTTTGGAATGAGCATAAGCAACTCAGACTTACCTTCACCTCTTTACCCATCCATTCCCCCTTCTCCCAATCAGGACAGCTGCACAGGCCTGTGCTTCCAGCCTCTTGTTCGCCTGGGACTCTGTCTGTGTGCTTCTGATGGGCACTCTGATTCTCCTCCCTCCCTCCCTGGAAACTCAAAGCCCACTCCTCTATGTACATATTTACTAAATGTTTCAGACATGCGCAGGGAGGATAAACATCACATTTAAGATATTGGTTCCTTCTGGGGAGAGGGGAGGCAGGAGAATGGTATCAGATGGGAAAAGGATACATAGGATGCCTTAACTGATAACTAATATTTTATTTCTTTAAAAAGAAGTATCTGAGGCAAAAAAAAATGTCAAAATGCTCAGTTGATGGAGCAGGGTACTGGTTGATTAGGGACTACAGTATCTTATCTATAGTTTTTTGTATGTTTAGAGGTTTCATAACTTTGAAAATTTCACAGTTAAAAAAGATATCAGCAATGTAGATGGTGGATCATCCTGTAACCTACCTCTCCCCCACCTTTTGGCCAAAGCTGCGGAACAAGTTCTCTTCCCACGACATGGTCACCGGGTCCTCCATCTGACCATTTTCCCAAGCGGAGACAAAATAACCCGCCCACATTAGAAGGGCACCTACAAGCCCCCCGAGGTTCTTGCTGCTCATCCCCCATTCAGGCCCTTCGTTCTGTGGCTTTCACCGTTATGAGCACAGCCCCTGGCCAAACACAGGCCAGGTGAGCCGGGATGACAGAGTCAAACCCGTTTGAGTAAGTGGAATATGGAAGCATGGCTGACCCAAAATTGCCTCCCCTCCTGGGATTGCTAGAATGCAGACCCTGCTTTGCTGTAGCTGGCTTACCACCTTGCTAGGACTTGGAGATCCACTCTGGATGCCTGGACCATTCTCTCCGAATAGCAGTTAAAACCTTCTGTTTTCCCTCGTAGAGAATGGATGTGAGCAAGCAGGCCAGGTCTTTCTCAGGACCAAGTCTCCTTTGCCTTCAGCCGTAGTCACTTCCTGGGTGTTTGTGTGCAGCGGGCCTGGTCACCACTTTTCCTCCGCACGGAACAAGCAGTCCTTCAGTTCCTATTTCTGTCTGTACCTTCCTAGGCTCTACCACATCACACTCTGGACCTTCCTCCTCGCCCTGGGGCACTTCCTCTCTGAGCTGTTTGTGTACGGGACCGCGGCTCCCACCATCGGCGTCCTGGCACCCCTGATGGTGGCAAGTAAGCATGCAACCACCCTAGACTTCCCACAGGACCTGTCCCAGCCCCGGCAGACATACAAGGGGTATGAGAGAGCACCGTGCTTATGTCCGCCACTAATGTTCTCTCTGTATTTAAGGTTTCTCAGTCCTGGGTATGCTCGTCGGGCTCCGGTACCTAGAAGTAGAACCAGTATCCAGACAGAAGAAGAGAAACTGAGGCCAACAGTACCACCCCCGAGACTTCGTCTTCCACCTTTGCGGTCTTCCGTCGTCCTCTCTGCGCTTTAATTTCTTCTTTTCTGCTCCATCACCAGCCCCCTTATCCACTCCTAGCCTTTTACATTTTGTTTGCTTTTATTACATTTAAACTTTTTAAAGCTATAACATGCATACAGAAAAGTATATAACATGTATGAACATGTACGCATCATTTAAAAGTGACTCCTCTATACTTCCATCCAGATCCAAACGTCGCCAGCACCTCAGAAGCCCACCGTGCCCTTGCCACTTGCAGCCTCTCTGAGGATCGCTTTTCCATCCTCCTGCTTTTTTCATTGTATTTCCATCCCTTGATTTGACTTGTGTGGTGGGAACAAGTGGACTGTGAAACTTAAAGCTGCTGCCTCGCCCAGAGCAGCTGCCACCAAGGGCTGCTTCAAGGGGTTGTCCACGCAGGCTGGGCTCCTCTCTGCTGCCGGACCCAAGACTCCAAACCATCTGCGGGACGGGCAGTTCTCCTAAGAAGGGCTCCCCTGAGTGAGCCTGGCTTATGTCCTTGTGTTGACGGATGGGTTACGGTTGGAAGAGTCTGGGCTGTTTTTAGACCTTCTGGTCAGCTGTATTTGTGTAATGAATTTTGTAATAAACAGAAAAACCCTCTGCTCCGATCAGTCCTTGTACTTTGATCTCCCGTAAGCCAAGGCCACTCCTGCCCTCCTCTGGGCCCTCCCAGAGAGAATCACACTTTCTACTCATCAAGTACACTGAGTGAGTAGGACAGCTCAAAGCCCAGGCACACCAGGCTGCCTCCAGCTCCTTGAAGTCAGATCTTCCTCCCCTCCTGCCCCACCTTCAAGACTCTGAGTTCACAATGGAACAATCGGGACCCTTTCTTGTTTTCTTCCAAAGGAAGAAACAGGTTCTTGAGAAAGCACAGAACCAGGCAGCATAGAAGAAACAGCTGCGCGACGAGGAAAGGAGAACACGGGCCCAAAGATAACGCAATGGAGCCGACAGCGTCCTCCAAACAACCCCGAGGGCTCCACACTGACTGGGCCCTCACACGGCATGTAGACTCCAGGCCCATTCATTATGTCAACAAGTATTTATTGAACACTTACTCCACGCAAGATACTTGGGAAAGAGAAATGAATGACCTGGGCAATGACTCCACTCCCGTGGTGGTCCTCACATTGTAGCCAAGGAAATAGACAACAAAAAACCCAACAAGTGAAAGGACAGCTTCAGGCAGTGATAAGAATTCTAGAAAGTAGATAATGTAACCAAGAAGGGGAGGAAAGTGCATAACTTACATCACCAGGAAATAGGAGGTAAGATTTTAGTTGAGACTTGAATGTCCAGGTATCATGTGTCTTAAGATATATTACGGCCCTAGCCGGTTGCTCAGTGGTTGCACCATGGGTTCAATTCCAGTCAAGGGCATGTACCTTGGTTGCTTCCCCGGCCCCAGTTGGGGTGCGTGCAGGAGGCAACCAATCGACTTGTCTCTCATAACGATGTTTCTCTCTGTCTCTCCCCTTCCCTTCCACTCTCTCTTAAAAAGGGGGACAGGGGGGAATCAATGGAAAAATATCCTCGGGTAAGGATTAACAACAAAAAAAAGGTCAGAAAGGAAGGGAGGCAGGAGACTTGGGATGACAGGAAGCTTGAAGTTGACACTTAATGCATTGGAAATTCTCTATCAATTAAGGCTAAGTGAAAGGAACAAAATCTACCTTAAACTAGTTTAAACAACAAAGATAACATTGGCTAACAAAACTGTAAAGTGAAGGGGATTATAAACTTCAGGAAGTTTGATCAGGGCTCAGCTCCATTTCTCTGATTCTTTTGGCTCTGCCTACCTGTGTTGGCTTCATCCTCAGGTTGGCTTCCTTTATGGTGCCAAAAAAAAATGGTTGCAGCAGTTTCGCTTGCATCCCCACAATACTACATCTAGAAAAACAGCTCAGTTGCTAAGAACTTGTCTTTCCCTTACCAACTACTGTCAGGAAGCAGAAAGAAAAGCAATGATCTTACAGGGTTAACATTTGAGTGGAGATCCACGTGGAACCCACCTAAGGAGTAAATGAAATCATATGATTTGCGTCCTCTAGGCATGCGTCATAGAAATACGATTTCAGATAAAGATCCCAAAGGATCTAAAGAGATGATGCGTGGCTCAGTGGTTGAGTGTCCACCTATGAACCAGGAAGTCACGGTTCGATTCCCAATCAGGGCACATGCCCAGGTTGTGGGCTGGATCCCCAGTGTGGGGTATACAGGAGTCAGCCAATCAATGATTCTCATTATTGATGTTTCTATCTCCTCACCTCCTCTCTGAAATCAATAAAAATATTTTTTTTTAAAAAGGAAAGAGATGATGTAGAGTATTTAGCAGACACTATGACTATTAGGTTTCTTTAATAGCCCCAACTTAGCTCCTTCCTACATGATCTAAAGTAGAATTGCTAACAGAGATGGTGCCAGAATGCCACAGGCAGTGTAACTCTCTAGGTAAGACATGTACGAAAAACTGATCGCAGCACACCCAAGTAACAGACAAGGTGAGCACCGCTGGGAAGGGAGGAGAGGCAGTAAGTAGGATAGTTCCGAAGGAAGATCACAACTGCAGGTGCCGGAACTGTGGCCTCTGGCTAGAGCTCGCTGGAGCCCAGCTGGGGTGACTGTAAGACAAACACCAGCCACCCTTTGAGGCAGAGCCAAAAACAACAGTGGGCTCTCTCATCAGCACTCACACTCGGGTGAGCCTTCATGTGCATGCAGTACAGACAGCGGTCAGGGTCATGTGTTGGACGTTGAGTTGCCGTCTCCCACAAAGGCCGACAGTAACCTTTACAGCCTCGTCTTTAAAAAAATAACCCCACCAGTGCCCTAACCGGTTTAGCTCAGTGGATAGAGCATCGGCCTGGGGACTGAAGGGTCCCAGGTTCAAGTCCGGTCAAGGGCATGTACCTTGGTTGCGGGCACATCCCCAGTGGGGGGTGTGCAGCAGGCAGCTGGTCCATGTTTCTCATCGATGTTTCTAACTCTCTATCCCTCTCCCTTCCTCTCTGTAAAAAATCAATAAAATATATATATATAAAAAAATAACCCACTGGGATGGTAACACCTCTGTAAACAGAGAACCACTTCTCTGGGAGTCTGCAGGAGCTGCTCCCCCAGCCCCCACGCCCCACCACATCCGCCAGCACTCAGAAATGTGCAATAACCTCAGAGGGACTGACTACCAGAAACCCACCTCTGCCCCATCAAGTGACAAGGCAGACCACTTGGAAAATCTTTTATTGCTTTACAACATCTCGTTTACAAATAGAAAAACGCAAATTATGTTTCAAAACAAAGCAACGGATTTGGTGAACCTTTTGTTAACACATTTTGAGGGAATGAAGAGTAAACACCTTTCTCCCTGTCAAAAAGGAAGGCATACTGCGCTGGCCGGGTTGCTCAGTTGGTTGGAGTGTCAACCCATACGCCAAAAGGTGGCAGGTTCAATTCCCGGTCAGGGCCCATACCTAGGTTTTGGGGGTTCGATCCCTGGTCGGGGCACGTATGGGAAGCAAACAATTGATATTTCTCACATCGATGTTTCTCTAAAAAATTAATGAAAACATATCTCTTTTAAAAAAACCAAAAAACAATGTAAGGCATTCTCTCCACCCTCACTCAGTCCCCCCACCTGCAGTGTGAACTTCTTTTATTACATCCAGTGTCCGTACACACACACCCCAGCTTCTCTGGCAGTGGCCCTAGTACCCAGCTCTGTTGCCAGCACAGGCTGCTCTGACATGCTGTGTCCAGGGCAGTAGCCACAGCAAACCAGCACAGCGGTCCTGACTGCAGCTGCTCAGTGGACAGGAGAAATTACCAAAATGTCTTCTTTTCAGGAGATGCTGCCCACCCAAGCCTATGAGTAGAGCCAGATAGCAGGTTCAGCAGGAGAGGGGCTCAGCTTGGGCTGGCTGAAAGGGACTCCCCTAAGATCCAGAACATCTGATAAAAGGTTAGTGCTAGAAGGGGGTGGGTGTGCAAATACTGCCCCCACCCAAGGGGGATACGCTTCATTCAAGCAGATCCGGTTCCCATTTCAAAGGCCACATTCCCTCTCATATCAGAAGCAGCTTTGGATTTCTCAGCATGGAAGGGATCGAGGTTCGTTTTCAGTAAAGGTTACAGGACAGTGGCTGGTATCACCTCTCTCCAGAGAAAACAAACACCTAGTTCCTCTAGCAGCGTCCATATGAAGGTGTCAGAGGTGACAACGACACAAAGAATCTCTGGGCAAGGGCTGATTTTGTAGAAAAGAACTTCCCCGTTCCCTATTGGAGCTCCCTGAGTTCCCAAATATGGGCCTGCACAAACACACCCAGCAGGTAGCCCCCAGCACCCTCACCCACCCCACCCGGGTGGCTAAATCAGTTTCTTCTTCAAGGCTACAACAAAGTCTTTCTCAAGTTTTATTGATGTTTGGTTTGATCAGCTCTTAAGAAAGAGGGTTTGGAGACAGCCCCCAACTTTAGGCCAGAAGAACAGAGGCCCAGAGGACCCGCGGGTTTGTTCCGATGGTGCTTTCTCTCCCACAGAATGTTGGAGGTTAGTCCAATGACCCCAGAATGACCCTCATCCAGCGCAGCTGCCGCTCCTTAGAATTGGGCTTCTAAGGGTCTTGAGACACTAGAAAAAGTTAATATCTGAATAAGCTTTCTTTCCATGATAATTTTGCAGGCTTTCTCCATGAGGGATGGAGGTGAAGAGGGAAGGCAAGGCACAAAGCCAGGACTGACTCCACGACTCACCAGCCTCTCCCAACACCAGCTCCCAGAACCTACAAGGGGAGGGGCGGGAATCGAATCTGCATGTGGTGAAAGGTGCGATTTCCCCCAACTAGACCGTGCAGGCTCTTGAGTGGGTTCCAGAAGCTAGGCGCTGCCGTCCAAGCCACAAGTGTTCCAGCTGGTTCCCTCCACAAGCTGCCCCTGTGAAGACCCTGGTGCTGGCAGTGAGCTGTGCTGACGGAAGAGGTGGGGGTGTCCGTGTTCCCTGAGTTGCAAACCCCTTCTCGTCTCAGAGATGCTCCTCAGACAGAGTGGTGGGTGCTTTGCTGGTGACATTGTCTGCTTTCTCCACATTCTCCACCTTTTCCTCCTCCTCCTGGAGTTTCTACAAGGCAAAACAAGCAGGCAGGCCTTGGGGTGAAGTGGCGCAGGGCTCTCCCCTGGCGGGAGCCACTGCCTGGCAGGGACTCTATAGTCAGCGGGAAAGACAGGAGCCAGAGGCATATTCATGAGTGAACAAAGGGAACAAGGAAAGAAGTGCCAGCCCCTGGCTCGTGAGCTCCCTACACACACACACACACACACACATGCATGCACAAACGCACGCATGCACGCACGCCATCACAAGGTCATCAAAGGAAAAACCAAAAGGCCAGCTTTCTGGGATGCCAAAGTCACCACCAACCATCCCCTCCAAGGGCCAGTGCTGTCCCCTCCCACTCCCTCCGCAATCCGACCTAAACATCCGGGCACTGACCATCCAACAGCTGTCCAAGTGCCACGTCTGCAACTCCATCCGCATTCCTAACTATGCCCGTTTGGAGGCAGCCCCCAGGATGAGGAATATTATTATAAGGTGCATGGAATGGATACAACAAAAAATGCTTATACAGGCAGGAGGCATCATTGCATATAAAAACTCAATGACTACAGATAAGTATATATGCTTTGTGCATAGAAGAGGAGGCTCTGTGTTGGCCTGGCTTTGGCTTTCTCAGTGAGAGATGGCCCGGGATTAGAAGAGTCTTCTGGGTCACACTTGTGAGGTGGGTTTGGCATTACACACGGCCTGGAAACGATCCTGTGGGGACACTTGGTGCATGCCACCCCCTGGGGAATTTGCTCTTTCAAGGAGCACTTTGCTTCTTAGCTCCAGGGTTCACCTGGTTAGGGAGAAGGCCTTGGGAAAAGCCCAGCACCGCACCACGCAGGGGCTGGAGGAGCGTGTGCCGGGCCAAGCTAGAGTCCTGTCAGTCAGACTCATGGTGCTTCCCCAGGGAGTGTCTCAGGGCCAGTCCACGGCAATGGCAACAGCGGTGGAAACCCAACCTTCCCGTTCGCAGTCTCACTAACTTTTGGCCCCAGGTCAGCCTCAGTCATAAGAAGCCTTTATTCAGGCAGCTTAAGTCATTCAGGCAGTCTCTCTGGCACACGTACGTGCGCACATACGTACACATACACCTGCCTCCTTCAGAGCCATCGCCTTGAAATCACAATCAGAAACACAGATTAGTGGGAACGGAAGCACAGCCACTCTTTCAACTAGAAGAAAAATGGAAACGCAAACCAAGATTTTCATAGTCAAGGTCAGCTGCCTACCCCCATCCCTTAAGTTCTGTCTCTTTTTATCAAAACGATATATCTCACTGATTAGCAAGAAAGAGCAGTTCTGGCCAGATCTGCTATGTGGCCTGTCTTTCCCTGGCTCTGCTAATGAATGTGTGTGCTAGCGTGCCGGTCTCAATTACACTGACCACCATGGCGGCTTCAGAGGAGGGGTGCTCTGTGCAGCCCTGGCTTCCCTGGGTGTCAAGCCCAGCATCACTCTGACCTCCCATCACACCAGCTGCCCAAATGCAAGTGAGGTCCAGAGATGCACAGTGACTTATCCAGGGACACAGACAGTAGAGAACCAGCACGGGACTTGTCTCCTATTATTACTCAGTGCTGCTTCAATACTCCAAAAAGAAGGTGGCTGAGCCAGCAACTCCAACCTTGTGTGACAAACGTGGTCCGCATGCACAAGGATCTGGTTGCAAGAATAGTGAAATATTGGAACAGCCTAAATATTCAACAAGAGGAAATGGAAGAGAGTGTGTGTGTGTGTGTGTGTGTGTGTGTGTGTGCGCTCGCGCGCGCATGCACGCGCATGCATAGATATGAGGTTATAGAATGTAAGGTGCGTCCTAGCCAGTTTGGCTCAGTGGATAGAGCGTAGGCCTATGGACTGAAGGGTCCCGGTTTGATTCCGGTCAAGGGCACATGCCTGGGTTGCGGGCACGATCCCCACTTGGGGGGCATGCAGGAGGCAGCCAATCAATGATTCTCTCTCATCATTGATGTTTCTATCTCTCCCTCTCCTTTCCTCTCTGAAGTCAATCTCTACATATAAAAGCCTAATATGCAAATTATCCCCTCGGGAGTTTGACTGGGAGACCGGGAGTTCGATTGCTCACTATGACGTGTGTTGACCACCAGGGGGTGGCGAGGAACGAAGGAAGGCCCAGGCTGGCAGCCGAAAGGCCCCAATCGGCCCTGATCACCGGCCAGACGTAGGAACCCTACCTGTGCACAAATTTTGTGCGCCGGGCCTCTAGTAAAAATATATTAAAATAAAAAAGAATGTAGGTGCAGAAAGGTTGTCAAGCTGTGTGAAGTAAACAAGCAGAGCAGAAAACCAAATGTGTACAAGCATCCCCATAGACAGCAACATGGAGAAGTGGACTCCAACATTACAGGTTATCTCTGGGTGCTAGGACTATAGGAACCTTTACTCTCTTCTTGTTTGCATCATAAGGTAAACATGGCAAAAATCTCATATGACTTGACACAATGTGCCATATTCCAAGTTGAAACCTCTTCACCAGAAATCGACCCTGTGTCCTTCCTGGCACCTTTTCGCAGGCTCATTCTATACTCACCAAAGTGTTCCAAACCCTGTTTGCTTGTGTGTGGCACAGGTGGGAGCCCCTCTCCACAGCGGCGATGCCATGGGCCCCACACCTGTCCAGAGAACAGCTTTCTTGCCCTAAGGCTTCCCCTGTCACTTCAGTGAATTTCTGGTCCTAGCTCCTCCCTCCACATGCTACTGCCAACTCTGGAGTGTGATATTAGAAGGCAAACAGGAGAGTATGAAAGATTATCATCTATCTGCCAACGCATATCAAAATACTAAATATACCTTTCAGATACCACTCTTGCCTTAGAGAATTGGCAAGGAGTTTTCAAACAGATAAACACTCCGTGCTGGCCCTCATGCACTGACTGCCATAGCGCTGCACACTGGTGCTGCTGAGAGTAGCTTTCTGGAGGACGGTTTACAATATATATCAAGGCCTTCAACTGTGCATGACCACCGGTCTGTTTCTCAAGGAAACACTGTGCTTCAGAACCTGCGTAAAGATTCCACTTCCAGGACAAGGTGACTTAAAACAATTGCAAAGAACCTTAATATCCATGGACAGGAAAACTGTTAAACAAATTATGGTTTCCCCACATAACAGAACACTATGCAGTCATTGAAAGTATGTTGTAGCCCTAGCCATGTGTGGCTCACAGACCAGAGGGTCAGGGGTTTGATTCCTGATCAAGGGCACGTACCTCAGTTGCAAGCTCAATCCCCAGCCCTGGTCGGGGCGCATACGGGAAGCAACCAATCGACGTGTGTCTCTCTCTCTCACATCTATGTTTCTCTCACTCTCTCCGTCTCTCCCTCTCATTCTTCCTCCCTCTCTCCCTCCCTCCCTCTCTCCTTCCCTTCTACTCTCTCTAAAAAAATAAACAGAAAAAATATCCTCGGGGGAGGATTTGAAAAAAAAAAAGTATGTTGTAAAAAAAAAAAGACTAATGAGCTAAGTGTTCACAACATGTACAAAGGCAGATAGGACAAGATTCCATTTTTGTTTTAAAACCAAAATATATATGGATATATATATACGTATATATTATATGGGGATATGGACATGTATAAGTCAATGCTAAAAAAAAAACAGCATCTCACCTCTGGGTGATGGTATTACAGGATGATTTTAACATTTTGTACGCTTTTGTATTTTTTTTTTCATTTTTCTACAAAGAGCGTGTATGACCTCTGTAATAAGTTTTGGAGGTTTTCTTTTTATTTAAAAAAATCCCACATTTACTGCTCAGATTTGAAATTCCTTTCACCCTGGCTCAGATTTGATACCTAACATTGTGGTTAAAATGACTCCCAGCTGATGAGAACAGAGGGGACACACGTTCCTATTGCAGATCACACTCCTGGTTCTCTCTCCTTCCACCATCATCGGCTCCTGCTTCCTGACTTACCCTTTTAGGGCCTGACTGGCTATCCACTGGCTCCAGTCCTTCGATCCCCATGGCACTGCCTGCGCGGCTGTCACATAACAGGACAGCCCCATGCCTTGGGGCCACCACTGCCATGACAGGCTCCCACCATTCCTCTACGGCCACTGACCCCGGGCTGAAAGCAGCAGAGCCAGCGCCTCCGAACCGGGCTCAGGATCCACTCAGGGGTGGGTGCTGCTCAGCAGACTGTGGTAACAGTGACACACCCTGAGGACCAGAGCCGGGAGGCCAGGGGAAGAGAAGGAAGCTGGAGAGGAGCCCGGGAAAGAGCAGCAGAAAAGCAGTGCTGAAGCGGCCACTAAGGAAACTGGGTGCCATGTTCGTGAGAGCTGCGCTGGCCTCACAGGCACCTCGAAATCGGTCTGCTCTGGGAGCTGTCCCGCCCCCACCCAGGCTC